AGTCATTACGATTTTCTTTTGAACTCGATCACTTGAGTCTACTGTATGTTCTGTGGAGATTTATTAAACATGGCGAATTCCCACAGCCACAAATGTAGATGCCCTCAGTATAGTAATAGTTACGCTGAAATCATAATTGCTGGCATAAATACTTGGCCATGTGGCCATTTTGAATCTGACAGAGAGAGAATACAGACTAAGCTAACACCATACATATTATTAAAGATAAGTTTTGGTTACTTATATCACCCCACACTACCACATAATAATTAGCAAGAATTCAAATCCATCTATAAAAAAAAAAAACATACAATATTTCTAAGAATCTAAGTTTTAATGCGGCAACTGCAGTGAACTAAAGCATTTTTCTCTCAAAAGTGCAGATTGTTATAAAATTACAAAATGTACAAAAATACATTTCTCTACAATACTGTAAAATAAAAACTCTGAAAAATATTACATACTAATTTACAATTATTTTGTTTAAAAGGCACGTTGGCCTATTTGACATGGCAACAGCTCTTGGTCAAAATTTATGGGAGAATGAATAAACAAAATGTGAAAATAATACAGTAACTGTAAAATACTTTATTTTAGCTGGAATTAATTTTCGCTGGAACCACATTTTGGGTGTTTTTATGCAATTTATTTTCACTGATTTTTGACGAGTTGTATGTAAATTATAGAAAAAAAGTTTAATAGCTGGATTTTATGAATCACTAAATCACTGCTTCAGTGAAAATTAATTCCAAGTGAAAATAAAGTATTTTACAGTAGTGGATTTGTTTCCATCATAATGTTGATGTAACATTTTTTGTTAATTTTGCACCAAATGGTTTATTATTGATTAGCTACAGCTTTTAATAAATTATGTCAGGTTTATTTTGTGAAAGTTGAACTTTGCCATTTAAAGGTCAAAATGTCATATCACATCAATAACAATTTATGACTTTAAAGGCCAAATTACTGAGCTAAATTTCTGGATTTAATGAAATAAATACAACTTTACTTCACTATAAAAACTTATGCCAAAACAAAAATGCAAATTCAGAAACTTCTCATGACAATTCCAGTTTTTGTGTCTCGACGTATATTTTCCAGTGACACAAATCTGTTTTGTCATTGTTTTTAATGACATGAACGCATTATAATGACAAAGTATGATCGCCAATTTGACCCAAACCTCCTCATAATTTATATAGTTTGTTTTTTAAGGGACACTGTCAGAACAATACATAGGAAGATCAATCAATGTTCATCTATTGAAAGAGACAAGTTTACGAGGGGTGTTCAATAGATAATGTCCCTGACCGACTTCCAGTTGTCTGATCTAGATGAAATGTTGCATGTGTAATGATTGACATTTCTATGGGTTATGTTGCAAAAAACAGCTCTGAACTAATTGTGATTTCTAATTTCTGATTTACAGGTGTTTGAACTGAGTTAGGTGTGAAATTGAAGCAGTTGAGTGTCACGCAGGGACATACACCAAAGGAGACTTTTGTTGAAATGAAAGACACTTATGGTGATGATGCCCCATCATATGACCTTGTAAAACTGTTTGCTTGGTCATAGTTTTTTTTTTTTTTTTTTGATAATAAAGTAATATAATTATGATCATGTGCAATGTTTATTTTTGAATGTCATAATATCTGGCGTGCATGATGTTTCTACAGACCAATTAGAAAATTCTGACCACATTCATCAAATCAAACATTTCTATTAGCAAAAACAGTTGATTATCAGTGATAAAATTGCATGGCAACCACTCCGAATCTAAAGATTAGGGTAAATGAGCAGACAAGCAATGCTAAATGCATGCGAGTGTGTTTTTTTATGTCGTAGGACAACTATTGACTTGTACTGCTCCAGCAACACGGAAAGCCTCATTGAAGTTCACTATGTTACTACCAATCACTAAGTTTTTAATGCAGCCTACAAACTGTTCTGTTGTTGTAATGCCTTTATGTGTTACTCCATCTGGAAAGGCAAATAAGAGGATATGTTAGGTAATGTGTTAAATATGTGCCAGTGAAAATCATCATCAGTTTTGCTGTTGTGATATACCGGTAAAGAACGACGTCAAAATATCGATGTCGGATAAAAAAATTATTTGCTTTAGTTTGGGGGTGGGAGGGTTTGACCTCAAAAAGTTTTCATCCTACAAAAACGATTTAATTTTTTTTTCTATCCAATCATGGACAAAAATAACAGAAAATGAAAAAAAAAAAAACATACAAGACGAGAATCAGAGAAAATGGTTTTGTCCAAGTGTAAATAAATATGTACGTCAAATGAGGTCAATTTCTGGGCATGGACCTAGAACCAACTGCTATGTCATACAACTGTCCGATTATTAATTTGTATTTAATGGTGAATGTAGTCTGACGCCATGATCAATATTTATCAATTAAGTTGAAGTGGGGGTGGGGACTAAAGAAATTAAGTTTTTTATCCTACATTTAACTTTTGATGTTGTCCCTAAACACTGACATTTACGCCATAATCCAGATTTGTAAAACTAAGTCACGTTTACATTTCATAAATCATAATTTTAATTGTAGCCTGAAATCAAGACATTAGGAGTACACTCAAGAATGGTCTGATGAATCGCTATGCAACTAGGTAGTCATCATAGAATTCTATGTCATAACTGATTGGCTGTCTCTATCATTTCACAACATTAACATGGAAGCTTGCATGAACATGTATGCAAGGCCTGCCCACAACATCCCAGACTAATTCGCTAGTCAAGTATTCATAGATGACTTTTATTCTACTTTAATTGAGGTGAATATTAAAATACATACCTGGAAGACCACCTATATACAGCTCATTTTTGGTGTCTGTATTGATAGTTGTCCCTCTTCCAATACCCACAGGCATGATTTCCTTGCCATCCACATTTAGTGTCACAACATTCTTGGCTTTTAATGCTACAACATAAATGTATAATTATATAAACGTTATTGATATAGCTGTAACTATTGCCATAGAGGGCATATTTTTTTTGAGTTACCATAGAGGGCATAGTTTTATTGAGTTACCATGGAGGGCATACATTTATTGAGTTACCATCAAGGGCAGATATTTTTTTGAGTTACCATAGAGGGCATACTTTTATTGAGTTACCATAGAGGGCATACATTTATTGAGTTGACATAGAGGGCACACTTTTTTTTTGAGTCACCATAGAGGGCATACTTTTTTTGAGTTGACATAAAGGCACACTTTCATTGATTGCCTTAGAGGTTGTGTTTTGGCTTAAAACTAAATGTAAAAATTGTATTAAGTAGTTATTACTTTCAAACAATATTCAGTAATGATAGAATCTTACCAACTATACTGTGCCATTCACCGTCACATAGATATTTTCTTCCTTGGTTTGTATTGGGTTCATAGGTTGTACTGAAGATCCCTTCTCCATTATCTGCGCTAAACACCAACTAGAAATAAACAACAATATTTGTTAAAAGACCATATTAAGTGAATTATCTGTTTTTCATTATCAATATTTGTCTCCTCTATTTTGGTCTGCATACCGCATTGCCCATTCAGTAATGGTACAGAGAGTAAGGATAAGTATAAGGTACCAAAACAAAAATAAAGAAAGTATATATAGGATAAATATTCTAATAGTGTGTAAGCAGGTTCCTTCAGAGGTCACACATCCTGGTACCTAAATGTCACACATCCTGGTACTTCTAGGAGGGACAAATTCTTGACATTGAAGTTCAAAAATTACTACGTGATATTGAAATGTACAATATACCAAGAAAGAACTAAGATGTGTGACCTTTAGGGAATAGAGCAAAAACAAATTCACTTACGTTACCATCCAACATTTCCATAGACAAGAAATCCCCTCTATCACTCTGTACAGATAACAATGTTCCCGACGTTACACGTGGTTTGATTTCAATTTGGATCTTTAAATCCAATCCAACTGTGAATTCGTCAACTATAAAAAAAAAATATTTAATGGAAAATAAATTACTCATTTCAATTCGGCCCAAAACCACCTTTTGTAAAAAACACTACAAACAGGTAAAGTATTGCAATGAAATTAAAAATATGACTCAAGCAAATAACACACATGTACTCAAAACTAGGCTGCCGGCACCTGGTACCCAGATACGACAGAAATGGTATACCAGCAAAGGCAAGGCAGTCAAATAAGATATAAACTAAAATAAAATTACAGAGCTATAACCTAATAAACTCGAACAGACAAAGACTAAAATTACAAAGCTATAAACTAATACTCACATAAAATAAATTGGGCGAACAGAAATAAATAAATTGGGCGAGGGGGCTTCTCTCCCATCCCACAGGCGAGTCGGATCCCCCTAGGCAAAGGATGACCTGCTAAGCCGAAAAGGGGGTCTGAGCAGTTTATAGAAGTTAAACTTACATTGTACAATATATCCACCATCGACTGCAAAGAATGTCCCTTTTTCACTATTGGACGTGCAGGGCTGTGTGGAATATGTTCTATCTGGTTCACCAAATTTTATATAATTTTCTTTATGTTCTAGTAGTAAACAGCCATCAAAGCTGGTACGTGCAAGCTCCTGAAATTGAAATCTAGCATGTAGCATTAAAATAATCAAATCATAATATTAAATACGTTTTCTACAGTGCTGAACCATCTCAGTCACTAACATCTCCTGCACACACTCATCATCTTGGTCAACATCTTAATTACTGACTCAATGAGCCACTCATCATCTCAGTCACTCACTGGCCGACTCACTCAGGGGTGATCTCATATTCAAACATGCGGGTCAAACCTACGAAAACCCAAACCGCCCTAAACCGCCCGAACAAACCCTAGTTTTGCGGTTTGGAAGTTTAAACAATAGACAGTGCGATTCAGGACGACCGCAGAATTTGCATAAAAACTGCGGTTCGAACCAATCTCATTCATACCTCATTCAAGCTGTTGTTTATTTTTAGGATTGACAGAGTTTACATTGCTAGACTAGATAGTTGTCTCTAAAATGTGTCGATTTATTGGTTTACAGTAGTCATTTTACCGTGTGCCTTGCCTAAAAAAACACCCTTTTATATATCGGTGAACAGCGTGCTGAATAAATTGTTTTGATAAACTGTTATGCTCGAGTCGCAAATTGAGCAGAGGACGTGAATCAGACTTTTCATTGGGCTGGACAATTGATATGTGTCTCTGACAGCTAATAAGTATCAAAAGACGAACATTTGTTGATACAAAGTTGCACTTGAGACTTGCGCTACTGTGTTCAAGCCTTTACTACTGTTGCGCGTTCAATTTTCAAACAGTTCTTTCAGGAGTGCGGCATCGCAAAATCCGGAAAAACAAATGCAGCGTACACAATGAAAATTTATTTCGATTTACTGCACATCGGTTATTTGCAGTTTTTCTTATTCAATTTCCAGTGACACGAAGTATCAAAACAGAAAATTAAATTAAATGGACTTGCGCTGATTATTTACTAAAAAACGAACCCTGACCTCTGAAATTACCTTATTCATAGAGTGCCTTGTACCTAAGACCGTCGCCCAAGGCGACACAGTGCACGTTGCGATATCGCAATCGATGCATGCAGGGTGACAAAAGGAAATTCTGATTGAGGTAACCAAGATGGCTGCGTTGAGTGCATGATTTTCTGCGGTGTTTAAAACACCTCGCTGCCTACTTCGCCCACAGTCCCTCAAGGCACTGTGCTTCGATGTATTTTGTAATCGTTTAATTTTAATTAACTGGGGGTTCGAAATGTGTGCATTTTGTCACAGAAAAGTAAGATATTGGCAGCGGTAAATACCCGTAATTTCCCTGCAATGCCGTCAGCTGACAATGTTACGGTGGTCGTAGCGCCGGAGTCGTAGCATTAGCCCCGACTTTAGTTTTGACACAGTGGTAGAGGGAATGTGGTTTTCAGATGCCTTCGTAGAAAAAAATGTTGCCATTATCAATTTAATACTTTCATCATATTTTGATAACTTGCAGTCTCACAGACTTTACAAACTTAACCAAAAAATGTGTTCTATGAATTTATGAACTGACATGGACACAAAACTGACCGTACTTGTTGCGGACAAAATGTACCAGTTCGCTCCATGGATAAACATATTTTACTGACTATGCCAAATATATATATAACGTAAGTAATTTATCCAACAAGCTGCTCATTTAAAATAGAGAGGGTTTATGGTATCACTTGATTCACATTTAATTACAAAATATAACAAACCATCA